CAGGTCGAGGCTGCGGTGGCTGGGAGAGGCCACTGCACTCCAGTCTGGGCGACAGAGTGAGACTCCAACTAAAAAATAAAAATAAAAAAGAGATGGAGCCTTTATTTTTTTATTTTTGAGTTGGAGTCTCACTCAGTCATCGAGGCTGGAGTGCAGTGGTACGCTCCCAGCCACCGCAGCCTCGTCATGCTGGGCTCCGGCGATCCTTCCGCCTCAGCCTTCCAAGTAGCCGGAATTACAGGTGTGTGTTACCACACTCAGCTAATTTTTAATTAATTGTAGAGACAAGGTCTCGCCAAGTTGCCCAGGCTGGTCTCGAACCCACAGGCTCAAGCAATACACTCACCTCAGTCTCCCAAAGTGCTGGGATTACAGGCTGAGCCACTGAGCCCAGCCAAGGTGGAATCTTTAAAAGGTGATTAGACCATGAGGGCTCTGCCTTCAGAAATAGATTAATGCTTGCAGGTACAATGGTTCATGCCTGTAGTTCCAGTATTTTGGGAAGCCAACACAGAAGGATCACTTGACCCCAAGAGTTCAAAATCAGCCTGGGTAACATGGTGAGACACAGACTGCACAAAAATGAAAGGGAGTAGGTTTCATTATTCTAGGAGTGGGTTCCTTATAAAAGGAAGAATTCACTGGTACCCTACTGCCATAGGATAGAACAGCAAGAAGGCCCTCACCAGAAGCCGGCACCTTGATTTTATACTTTCCGGCTTCCAGAACTGTGAGCCAATTGATTTCTGTTCATTATAAATGACTCAGTCTCAGATATTCTGTGATACCAGCACAAAACGGACTAAATAATGTAACAGAATAGCCTAGCTTTCATCAGGATTAAGTGTAGTCAGAAAATATAAAGTGACATAAAAACTAGAAATTATAGTTAGATAGGCGCAATAAGCTCTAGTGTTCTATATAGCATTGTAGGATGACTATAGTTAACAGAAATATAGGGTTTCAAAGAGCCAGGATACCGAATTTTCTCAAGACAAAGAAATGATACATGTTTGAGATGATAAATATGTAATTGCCCTGATCTGATCATCATACATTATATATATTATAGTATCGCTATGTACCCTATAAATACATACAATTATTATGTGTCAAATAAAAGAAACTAGAGACCTAGGGAATGAAAATAAACCTTGAAAATGTAAAGTGCTTTCATCTACCCAGCACCTGCATGTCAGATAACGGAACTACAACCCGTGCCCACCCTCACAGAGTCTCTGTCTCTGGGAACCTGCAGTGCAGGAGCCGATAATGGACACAACCTTAAAGGAGGAGAGAAGTTGCTGGAGGAGGCAACATCTCAGCAGAGGTGCTGAGGGAGGCAAAACATGCAACGATGACTGCAGACAGCAGAAAGCGGGGACTACGATGGCCAGAGCTGGCACCCTGAGTGGTATCAGTCCTGCAGGACTGTGTGCTCAGCCACACCAGAGTGACTTACACAGGAATGGTGACTGATGTATGCTGAAAGTGACCGTTGGCTGCAGGGTGGGAAAAGCACGAGCAAGTTGAGAAGGCTCCTAATGAGGTCCATGTGTACTTTTCCAGGACTCCCTGAGCTCCACAACTGGTCATCTAAGGCTAATTGAGATTAAAGGGTCTAGCAAGCACTACAACCTCTGCACTGAGGATCATGTGGCACCAGAAGGACCAGGTGAACAAGGAATGCCACATGTGAGCACCCTGGGCCCCTGTGAGCTGCACAAAGGTGGGGCAGAGGAAGTGAGTCATAGCTTAGCACATGGGTCAAAGTCAATGACCTGAAGATGACACTGCCTCCTAAGCATATGCAGAGTTCCAGTGGTCTGCCACCCAGACCCTGCCCCTCCACATCAACGTCACTAAGTTGGGGTCAGGCTGTCGCTGGCTGAGCTCATACACAGGTCTGCTCTGCATTCCACATGAGAGCTTAAAGCACAAGGAGCTCATATCAAGCATTACCATCCCAGGGACTTTAGCA